TTTTTTTTTTTTTTATAAAGAAAAATAATTCTAGCTATAATTTGGCAAAGTGCAAAATAAACAAAACAGATCATGCATATTCGATGACGAGGCACCCACTTTGAGACTAATAATGGCTGGAGACGGCTTAAATGGGTAATGAAGAAAAACTTTAATATAGTCTTAAATATAACTTGATGTTTGTTGAAAGTCGTACTAATAGAACTGAAACAAATGTAGGAGGAAAGGAGAAACCCAATAATGTAATTACCCTAATCCTATTACAGGACCTGTACATTGCTACAGACCATCCGAGATATATATAAAACTATGGGCACAAAGTCAAACTCTTATTTACTGAAATTAAATTTCAGTGATCGAACGTTTAATATGTACGTGAAAAATGTTATATTCTGTTGCCTTTGGTATGGGAGCATATTTTATGGGTTCTTCTTCTTCTATTGTCCACTTATGCCGCTGGCTTTGTTAAATCCACCTTTGTTTCATAAGCTTACCGACTTCATCTTTGCCTCGTGGGAAGCGTATTCTTCCGTGAGTCATTTTCTTGTAGTGTAGACATACGATAAACCTTAAGATGCCTAGTTTTAAATTATTATTCAATTCAACGTGATACTATTTTATCGTCTGTTAGATGAAATATGTCCAACATGTTCTAAACTTTAAGCTCTCGGACAAATGTAAGAGTTGTCATCTAAATCATGTTAAGTTACGTATACATCTCCTTCACGTGACGTGTTATTCTCAGTGACAGTGATACAACTCGTGGAGTGGGGGAACAATTTTGTGAAAATACAATCAAGTAAAAATTAATATGCATGAAAATATCACTACTACATTATATAAAACAAGGAGACACGCAATTCTGAAATCAACCATGGTGTAGACATGTTTATGTTTAACATTATAGTGGATCAAACACTTGTGCTACTGGTTAGTTTTCTGGTCTACTTATCATTTAGGTTCGAGCCAGGATGCTGTTGGCTACACTTAGCAGTGAGCGCTTTATAAGAGTGACAATTCTGTGATTCGGTACAAAGACCTTGTAACGGTGGGTGCTACTGACTGGCTGCCTTCTCTAGAGTCTCTGATCTGGCCAGTTAAGTTGAAAATGCTAATGACAGTACTAGCTTAGTACCTTTAGATTTGTTCTCTCATAGTCATTAAATTCTAGTTTTTATACTAAGTCATCCTTATTCATAAAAACAAAACTTATCAGGTCTCTCGCAATTATTGGACATGTGTCAGTTTTGTTTCGATTGTGCTTTGTAGGTATGAAAAACAAAATACTTGGAAACTGCACTATATATTTATAAAGACTATTGAAGTAGTGAGATCATACTGTTATGTCTCTTGTCGTTTGTTAATTTCCCGTATAATTTCTTTCGGATGAAACTTTAGCAACACAAGTCCTTTCTTAAAGAAAACTAGTTTATTCTTTCTCAATTCAACTTTGCAATACACTTAATTTCCACAGTCACTTTAACTTAAACACACGCTATAATTTACAACGATTCACGAACTTTACTTACCGTCACTACCGCTCATTTGACTCGATTAACTGTGTCTATATCGTCAATCTCTCTATCTGCTATCCCAATTCCAATTAATTGTCTCGCTTTATTTGCCGGGCTTATATATTAAAATAGAGGGCGCCTAGAAAACGCTCGGGCCTTTATGATCCTTCTAGAATCTCATGACGTGTTACCAGGGTCACGTGACTTCCGCTGTCGTAACAATACAATGCTTTTCCTTTTTAAAATAGTTCAATACACTTATCTTCCACCTTAAAAACAAATACATTCTAATTGGTACCTTTTATCGACTTATGTAAAAATAATTGCCTCACCATCTTTAACATTGCTAAATTCAAAGTTATACTATTATACAAATTTACTTTCCCTACCATTTTTTGGTAATTTTGACTTCATACAAAAAAAATATTTGTAATAGATGGCTAATAATTCTTGTAACTTTCTTTAATAGGCCTTGATTGAAATAATCTGCGACGTTCGGTTTGTAATTGAAGGAGATTTCGTGAGGACTGAAGAACATTCCTTGATAGTAATGAACCATCGAACCCGTGTTGACTGGTTGTTCTTTTGGGCATTATTACAACACAGGGGTGTACCTTTAACTACTAGGTGCAAATTTGTGTTGAAATCCTTTGTAAAACATATACCAGCTCTTGGTAAGGTTCAAATAAATATACCAATATTTTGTAATAGTTCGTCTAGACTACATAAACTTTTATCTTTATCAGAAAAAGAAATATCAATGGAAAAACAATCCGGAAACACTTAAGTTCAAATTTCCCACACAGTTAAACGAAGGGAGTACCAGCGCTCAGACGAGAAAAATACAGTGAAATTTCCCTTACAGATATATATCTGAGAGGAACGTGTTATAACTTCCCTTAATTCTCAATGGATGACTGTTTATTCCTGAGAGGTCCGCGTTATGATTGCTTCTGGGAATAATAATTTTTTTTTAATTTAATACCAAGAAAACAAGAATAGAATTTTTGTGTATATTTATGTAAGTGTTTGTATATATATAATAGCATTCTTATATTAATATGCCTTTTCTACCTTTAACATTGCATTGGTATTATTATTATTATTAAATTCATTACATAACGTACAGCGGATATTCTCTAATGAATGTTATATCTGATGTCTATAAAGAACTATTGGTGAGTCAGCGGTAAGTTTACGAGCTTGCAATGCTAATATCGGAGGTTTTGATTCCCACGTTGAACAAAGTATAAATAGCTCATTGTGTAGTTTTGCACTAAGAAAATGAGAACAGTGTTAACGTTAGAATACCCTACGATCTGTTATAGTTCAAAGTTCAAAACATATATGATCTTTTGTTTAACTAAGTATTTGTTATATTATCTTAAAGAAAAAAAAACTGATCACTTGTATGACTCTATGAGGATAAAGCTGTCATGGATAAACACTTGTTCGTTGAGAATGAGAAATAACCATGACGCGGTCCTGTCAGAAATAAGCATATGTCCGAGTAACAACAGGAGTATCAGAAAAAGACACCATGCACAAAAGCAAATAAAGGGAAAACTGCTCAGCCATTGAAATTAAAGTAATTAGATAAATAGGGGAGGAGTGATTCAAAGTACATGCAGACAGTGATAAAACGCTCTAATATGGTAATTTCTACAAGATTTCCCTACATTTTTATATGGAATAAATTCTTCAAGCAATGCCATTACTAAACTGAAATGGTAAATCGTAATACTTTGTGTGAGATCATGCTGTTTTAAAGTTATTGATGATTCTTGTAATTACTTCAAGCTTTCTTATCCCAATCTGTATTGTTTTCTTAATTTTAAATATGTACCAATTAATTTTTTGGAAATATCTGCCAATGTTTGATTTATAGTGGCCATTGTCCATTCACTAAACCTTTCGGTTTATTTTTATAAAACTTTTTATTTCGTGAGCAGTGCCAGTAAATTAGGAATGCTCGTAAGTATCAGTTTTAGAAGATTATCGTTGTTATTATTATCAAATAAAATCATGTTTAATATGATTACTTTATTGGTATAACTCAATGGGAAAATACATCTGTAATTCTTACATTAAAAACGTAATTTATCGTAGTTCGCATATTGAACCAACTGTCATACATCTGTTTGAAAGATAAAAGTGGTACACACAAAAAAATAATATAATAAATTTTCATTTAAATTACTTTTCTAGCAAACCTTTCTTTCAAACACCAGTTAATTATTAAGATGTAATTTTGTTTCAAATTAACGTTTCTTGTAACTACAAAAAAATAAATGTAAAATTATCATCACATTTTTTAAACATCATTGTTAATATGTAAGATAGAAACGATCAATTTACGCTACTTTTACATGTAACTTCCTCCCTTTTCGAAAAAGGCTGGGTTATGCAGATGTCACGTTTTTTATACATCAAAAGGAGTTGGGCTAAAGACCAAATTTTGCTGGAGGGACTTCTCCATTTGCTGAACAGTGACAGGTGTAACCTGCAGGTACGTATTTTTTTAGCACTAAGCAGTTTTTTTTTGTTAATTACAAATCTATAAATTCAGGTAGAAGTGTACAGTAGGTGAACCCAAAAGAATTGTGCAATTTTAATGCATTCTTTAAACGTTTGTAACTTGACCACTTACCAAGTGCATAGGGTATTTCAAAAGTTTGATTACAATTCTCAACCATTTCCAATAGCAATCATCTCTAAAAGTTTCCATAACAGCTCACTCACCCCCAGTTCGATAAAAAGACAAAAGTACTAAATTAAAATGCAAAATTATTTATTATGACTTAAATATACATCAAACTACAACTAGAATTAAAAAAAACATAAAGCAAACAAAACCCCCTAGTGAACCGTTCTGTGATTTACCCAGTTGAAAAGCACTGCGACTATATGAAAGGTAAATGTGAAGTCTCATGACACATTGAACACCTACAATTTACACGATTAATTATTAAAAAGAGTAAGTTTTTAATAGGTTTCACTTATATTTATCATTACCACTTTTAACTTCTAGTAGTAATGAGCTATTCTCGTTAACAATGAGTAATATATTTATACCGCTGTAATATATAAAGTATGGAAATTAGAGAAACGAGAAGGAATGGGGTAATATATCTATAAATATTTATATCATTGTAATATATAAAGTATGGAAATTAGGGAAACGAGAAAGAATGGGGTAATATATTTATAAATATTTATATTGCTGTAATATATAAAATATGGAAATTAAGGAAACGAGAAGGAATGGGGTAATATTTTTATAAATATTTATATTACTGCAATATATAAAGTATGGAAATTAGGGAAACGAGAGAGAATGGGGTAATATATTTATATTACTGTAATATATAAAGTATGGAAATTAGGGAAACGATAAGGAATGGGTATAATAGGCAAGATAGCTTCACTGGGATATAACCAATCAGAAAGTACTACGCCAGTTTTACTCTTATAAAAGTAGGATCAGTATATTCTATGCTCAGTAGTAGTATAAATGCATTTATAGCTCCCAGGGCTAAAATGCTCGGATTAGCATGAAGAAATGGTTGGTCAAGAATAAGCCATGCGAAAAATTGAGGCAATACTTCAATCTTCGGTTTACAAGACTGTGAAGAAAGTACATGAAAGTGGCGCTGCTGAAAGTGATGTTAATATCTCAAAGTAGATCCTTTATAAGATAGATGACAGATAAACAGTTGAATAAGCAAAATATGAAGACGTGTGGTCTTCACAGATGAATATTTGGGCTGAGTGCAGTCCAGTAGTTAGTCTGACGGGCTGTGAATCTGAGGTTACCACTCAAAACAATTGCAATTTGCACTTTAAGGACGTTTTTGACTCTTCACTCCTCTACTGTACATGACCTATCAACCCCTCATAGTCACTCTACCACGCACAACTCAACTATAACCTGGTAAAATAAAACACCCCCCATCTTGTCTCAGCAAACTACTCCTGGTGCGGGACGAAGTAAGTTTCAATAATCTTCGAACACCCCGAATGTAAACTCTTTTGTATCACACAATAGTGTTCCAAACGATTTCTGTTTTTATTTAAATATATACCAAGTCTTCAGGTTATGTTGAGGATCTGGGCGCATTGCAAAAGTAATGGTCAAGTCCTATTATTTGATCAGAGTAGCCCAAAAGTTAGTGAATGGTGGGGTTGACGAGCCGCTTCCCCTCAAGTCTACCACTTTTAATATTAAGGACAAGCTAGCGGTATAGCCCTCGAGTAGCTTTGTGTGAAATTCTACAACAAAACAGATGCATTTAAGTTCCAATTGTTTTACAACAATTAATGACAGTTTGTTTGACGGTGGAGGGGATAACTGTATAATACTCAATGTGCAACATCTATAATGTGGCATGCTAGATGATCAGAACAAGTTTGAGGCTGTATCGTTGCTAATTGTTCCAGTGGCACCCTGACTGCTGACAAGTAGAGGAACACAATTCACTGGCAGGGATTTATCTTCCAGAATG